AGTATGAGTTACCTAGACACGTGAGTGGATATGTGAAAACGAATGAATTGTAAAACAAGCGTATAGGACAGGAGTATGAGATAAGAAAGGAATATAGGCAATAGTTAAACATGCCTAACTGGTAGTTTGGTGTAAAAATCTAGAGTTATGAAAGACAATGCAGCTAAACATGCTGGATCTAAGAAGCGTGTTAGGAATGTTATAGAACATTAGTCCAATGGCTACATAGGAGCCGAGTCCAGATGCAGGAGCCGTCCCCATGGCCGGCGCGAGATCCTGTAGAAGGAAGCAGGCTTGTGTTTAACCAATGCCGGATCTGCCTTGTCAGAGCTTCAGGCAGTGAGTGTCCACCGAGGCAGGGATCCGGGCACAGTCCAGTAAGGCTTGCCGTTCGGCTCTATGCTGGTTTCCTCTGGGCTACAGCGACTTAAGATAGTATCTGCCATGTTTGTACAGCAGGGGGTTGGTGTCTGTCGATGCAGGGATGTGGTCAGAGTCCAGCAAGGCTCGTCACTTAATGTCACGCTGTGTTCCCCTGGGCTGCAGCAATGCAGGATGGATATAAGGTGTGTGGGGTTGACTCAATGGCAGGAATACCGTGCTTGGCGGCAGAATCTCTGTTTCCCGGACAAGGTCGTTGTTCAGCATTCCGACCCTGTGGTACAGCTGTTGTCGGCAGCGTGTTTTGGTCCCCTGCACGGCTCTGAGGAAGAGTAGGGGAGCTTTTCTGTCTCCCAGTAATGCGAAGCCAGCAAACACATCATCTAGCCTTTGGATGAGTGAGCGTGGCTGTGTCATGCCCGGATTCCCGCCCATGGGCTCCGCTGGCCTCGTGGGTTATGGGACCACGGTGCCACTGCTGGGAACCGGGACGGTTGCCCGGGACCGGGATAACACGATTCAAGGTTCCAGGCGTGTATGGCGGCGGCGGAGCGGCCGCCTCTTCCGCGCCGACCACGTTTTTAGGCCGTACCCGACCCTCGAGTGCCTCCATTGGAAAGGTTTGCTTGTTTGGTGCCAGGGTGTTCAGCAGTGCTTCCCCTCTTGTTTTCTGTCTTTTATTTGGTGTTTCGAGGCCGTGTTGTGCCCTTATTGTCGATTTATTTAAGTTGCAGAGCAGGAGCTGGAGCATCAAGCGTCCGCTCAGTTCAGCAGCCAGGCCCCGCCCCCTTTATGCAATATTTTTACATAAGTAAGTCATTTTATTAATTACAATCTGAGGGACCTGCCCGACAACCTAGGCAGAAAGTCCAGAGAATTTGGCTCGCAAGCCCTATATTTAACCCTGTAACTTTCCAGGACACCATAAAACCTGTACATGGGGAGTACTGTTTTACTCGGGAGACTTCACTGAACACAATTATTAGTGTTTAAAAACAGTAAAACATATCACAATGATGATATCGTCAGTAAAAATGCAGTTTTTTTATATTTTTCACACACAAACGGTATTCCCACTGACGATATAATTGTTGTTATACATTTTACTATTTTGAAACACTAATATTTGTGTTCAGCGAAGTTTGTTCAAAAGTTACTGAGTAAAATATAAGGCTTCAATTTCCTTTTTTTTACATTGAAATTTGCCAGATTAGCTATGTTGCCTTTGAGACCATATAGTAGCCCAGGAAGGAGAATTACCCCCATGATGGCATGCCATTTGCAAAAGTAGACAACCCAAGGAATTACAAATGGGGTATGTCCAGTCTTTTTTAGAAGCCACAAACACTAGCCATAATTAGCGTTCAATTTAGTTTTTTGCATTTTTCACACACAACAAAGATGAACTCTAACTTTGGCCAGTGTTTGTGTCTAAGTGGCTACTAAAAAAGACTTGACATACCCCATTTGTAATACCTTGGGTTGTCTACTTTTGCAAATGGTATGCCATCATGGGGGTCTGGTCTCAAAGGCAACATAACCAGCATGGCAAATTTTAATGTGTATAAACTGAAAAATTTAATGTGCTATATTTGACCCTGTAACTTTCCAAAACACCATAAAACCTGTATATTGGGGTACTGTTTTTCTCATGAGACATCGCTGAATACAAATATGTGTACTTCATTGCAGTAACAGCTAACAGTATTGTGACATTCACAGTTAAAATTCCATGCAAAACTAAAAAAAATTAAAACTTTAAAAAAATATTTTATTCATATTGAATTATGTTTAATATACAAATATTTGATGTTACATAAAAGCCCTGTTTCTCCTGAACAAAATTATATATGATAAGTGTGGGTGCACATAATATGAAAGAGGTGAATTACGCCTGAACAGACATATAGCGCACATTCGGGCATTTTGTTTTGATAACAACTGGTACAGCTGCCTCAGTCCTTAAGGGGTTAAGTGTTAAACTCTATCACATTGATCGCTTTGCTTCAGCCCTGAGTAAGAGAGGAAAACTCTAGAAAGTTTGTCTTTTAAGTATCATGTTTGTCCATTAAAAAAGATAATATTGCATAATGCATATTTTGTCATTATACATAAATATTTTTTTATTTCTTTCTTTAACCTTTATTGCATAAAATTGTTCCTGCTCTTTATGTAATGTGTGTATGTACATATGTTCCCAAGCTGAGGTCAGGTCATTTAAATAAAGCAATGAGACTCTATAGGCCATTGTATTATTAAAAAAAAATCAATCTTAAATTACTTCTCCTCACCCCATCCCTAAACCGTGCAGTTTTTTTGTGGTAATAATAAGCGATCAATAAAATGGTTTAATCACTACTGAATAACCAATATATTGCCATCTTTATGTCCTGCTAAGTATTGTAAAATATTATTGATGAAGTAAGGAAAAAGTCCAATTATGCTTTAGTATAATCATTTTCTGACCAAACAGCAACACCTAATGTCCAGATTGGAAATAGGTTTCTTCTTAAAGTAACAATCCAAGCACTTGAAGGGATCCTATAGTGCCAGGAAAACAAAGCCGTTTTCATGGCACTATAAGGTTAATAGGCCCAGCCCCTCCTGCGGGGCTGAAGGGGGTTAAAAACCCTTTAGCCACTTACCTGAAACCAGTACCGATTTCCCTCAGTGCTGGGTCAGGCTCCGCCACGCTCCTCCTCCACCAACGGGGGAGACTTAATGCGCGGCAATGGCCGTGCACACATTAGACCTCCCCATAGGAAAACATTATTCAATGCTTTCCTATGGGGAAAATCTGACACTGGAGGTCCGTGAGGACGTTCAGCGTCAGATAACGGACCAAAAGTCCAATTGGATTACAGAAGCCCTCTAGTGGCTGTCTGTAGACAGCCACGGTGAGCAGGCATAAACTGCAGCACTAAATGCAAAAGGGTCACAACACCCAGACTACTTCAATGAGCTGAAGTGGTCTGGGTGTCTACAGTGTCCCTTTAAGTCTTAACTATTGCAATCTGCTTCTCAGTTGTCTTACACATTCCCAGCTCACCCCGCTACAGCCTATTATAAATGCTGCATCAAAGCTTGACTCCCTGTCCTTCTGCACTACACACGTCTCCCCCCTCTGTCAGTCTTTACACTGGCTTCTCGTAAGATATAGGGGTCAATTTAAAATTCTGGTGCTTGCTTATAAACCTCTACATAACACTACATCTATCTACCTATCCTCACTAATACACAGTATGTCCTACCCAGGCCCTTATGCTCTACTGAAGACATGCGTCTATCCTCTGCTTGCACTCGTACCTCAGGCGTCACTGCCCACCTTCAAGATTTATCTAGGGCTGCGCATTCCTATGGAACTCCCTTCCCTGCTCTATCACTAAAAAATGTTAATAACTTTTTTTTTTTTTTTAAATACTCCCTTCTTCAGAAAGGCATATAAATTAAACTGTTAACACCTCCCTGTGCCATGGTAACCCATCTTACTTCCTCCCCTCCTGCAAATGTGTCATCCAAATGCTTTTTTGTTTTTTTTAAATAAACTTTTCTAGCAACCTGCTTTTCTATAACATGAAATATATCTTACCCTTACATAATTTGCCACTTTACCCCAATCCCCCTAGAATGTAAGTTGGTTTGAGCAGGGCCATCAACATCCTCTACACCTGTGTGTCCAACTTGTCTAGTTGCAACTACTTGTCTGTTAGTCCACCTATTGTACAGCGCTGTGGAATTTGTTGGCGCTTTATAAATAATAATAAAATATTCACAAGGTGAGAATTGTCTGGAATTCAAAGTGAATTTAACATTTAAGGCCAAAGTTGTTGAGATGGAAGCATAGGTGAATTTTGCTATTTATGAAGTTTTGTCTTCAGTTTGAAATTCACTTTGAAATCCAAATAATTCTCATTTATTAAAAAACCCTTTAAGTATTAAAGAGGATAACAGGATATTAGGAATACCATGGTACAGTATGTTTTACTCCCTTACTCTAGTAATTATTAATTAATATAGGTTTCTCCAGTGTCATTCTGGCTTTATCTGTTGCCTGGAAACAACTAGCAGGAGAAATACTCTGCCATGTTCAATATTATTTTTTACGGATACGGCTCTAACTCGTTACTGCCAACAGCTTCTTTAGTGGCATACTGTATAATGGGGTCAGTGGCGTATTAAATGACAACTGTCACCTAAAAACAATATTTAAATATAATAATTATTTCATCATGTTTTGAGAGGAAATAATTTTTTAAAATGAAGTATATGTAAAAAAAAAATAAAAAAAAATGAGAAATTTCATCCTCACCTTTACTATAGAACAGGATCCTTCAGCCATATACACACACCTTGGGTCAGACATTGTTTGAAAACAGTTAGTCTCTATGGTCTTCTTTGCTTCACTTCCTGCACAGAAACAGGAAGGACCATAGAGACTAACTGTTGGTTTATGTATATAGCTGAAGGAGGTTGTCATATAATAAGGATTTTTTTTTTTTTTAAATGATACATTTTAAAACTTGATGAAAGGATTATTGTTAGGATTCCTGGGTGGCCACAGTTAGACCATTCAGTGCTGTGTTATGACATACCTCCCAAGTGTCTCTATTTAAATGGCTTCTCCACACCCCAAAAGCTGAAGTGCTTTATGGGTGAAGAGTATCCTAGCTTAACCCCAGTTTATAAAAGTGGGAACACCCCTCTGGCTGTCAATCAAACAACTATGGAGGTTTGGGTCTGTTAGCGCCCCTGAGCGAACGGATGTTGCAGGCACGCTCTCCTTGACTGTGACCAGACGTGCGCGCATGCATGTAGCAGTGCGTTAATGTTTATTAAAACGATATTAGAAATCAGTCTGTGTAAATAAGATACATTCATTGTTAGAAAATTACATTCTCGTTCCAGTGTTAATTTTGTTGACTGCAATTTTGGAGATTTAGTCGACTACAACTAAAGCAATTCGGGTAACTTAAATACGACTAAAACTAAAACGTCTTTTTAGTCAAAAGACTAAAACTAAAACTAAATGGAAATTTGTTCCATACATTGCTATTACTAAAATTTCTCAGAACAGCCCCAACCCTGGTCACACCCCTATAATTAAAGTGTCCCTCTGTCCATATGAAATGTTGGGAAGTTTGTTATTACCTGATGTCAGTAACTGTCCTCAATGTCACCGAGACTCTGAAACGTGGATTTTATTCAGCATTTTATTCAACGTCCGCACATCTCTGTATCACCAGCCGATACCTCAGCAACTACTCAAAATGGCTTCCAACTGTCACATATCCACCTCACCAGCCGATACCTCAGCCACTACTCAAAATGGCTTCCAACTGTCACATATCCACCTCACCAGCCGATACCTCAGCCACTACTCAAAATGGCTTCCGGCTGTCACATATCCAACTCACCAGCCGATACCTCAGCAACTACTCAAAATGGCTTCCGGCTGTCACATATCCACCTCACCAGCCAATACCTCAGCAACTACTCAAAATGGCTTCCGACTGTCACATATCCACCTCACTAGCCGATACCTCAGCCACTACTCAAAATGGCTTCCAACTGTCACATATCCAACTCACCAGCCGATACCTCAGCCACTACTCAAAATGGCTTCCGGCTGTCACATATCCAACTCACCAGCCGATATCTCAGCAACTACTCAAAATGGCTTCCAACTGTCACATATCCACCTCACCAGCTGATACCTCAGCAACTACTCAAAATGGCTTCCGGCTGTCACATATCCAACTCACCAGCCGATACCTCAGCAACTACTCAAAATGGCTTCCAACTGTCCCATATCCACCTCACCAGCCGATACCTCAGCCACTACTCAAAATGGCTTCCAACTGTCACATATCCAACTCACCAGCCGATACCTCAGCAACTACTCAAAATGGCTTCCAACTGTCACATATCCAACTCACCAGCCGATACCTCAGCCACTACTCAAAATGGCTTCCAACTGTCACATATCCACCTCACTGTCACATATCCACCTCCCTAGCCGATACCTCAGCAACTACTCAAAATGGCTTCCAACTGTCACATATCCACCTCACCAGCCGATACCTCAGCCACTACTCAAAATGGCTTCCGGCTGTCACATATCCACCTCACCAGCCGATACCTCAGCCACTACTCAATAGGCTTCCAACTGTCACATATCCACCTCACCAGCCGATACCTCAGCCACTACTCAAAATGGCTTCCAACTGTCACATATCCACCTCACTAGCCGATACCTCAGCCACTACTCAAAATGGCTTCCAACTGTCACATATCCACCTCACCAGCCGATACCTCAGCCACTACTCAAAATGGCTTCCGCTGCTTCATCCACCCTCAATGTCAAGATATCCACCTCCCAGTCGATACCTCGCAACTACTCAAAATGGTTTCCAACTGTCATACATATCCACCACCAGCCTATACCTCAGCCACTACCAAAATGGCTTCCCACATATCCACCTCACCAGCCATACCTCAGCTACCAATAGGTTTCCAACTTGTCACATATCCACCTCTACCAGCCGCATACCTCACACTACCAAAATGGCTTCCAACTGTCACATATTCACCTCATTTATTACCAGCCACTACTCAAAATGGCTTCCAACTGTCACATATCCACCTCACCAGCCGATACCTCAGCCACTACTCAAAATGGCTTCCGGCTGTCACATATCCACCTCACCAGCCGATACCTCAGCAACTACTCAAAATGGCTTCCGGCTGTCACATATCCACCTCACTAGCCGATACCTCAGCCACTACTCAGGGCGTCATGGTAACAGGGAGTCGGACACACAGCTGGTAACAGAGGAGGAGCAATGCTGTGTATTCACTGGGCTCTGAAGCAGCTGATAGGAAGGCAGGATAGTGGGCACAGTAATTGGCTACTTTTCCAAAGCAGCCCTAATAGGCCCCAGCCCTTAGCAACCAGTACCTCCCCCTAGCAACTGAAGGCCAACTTCTGACTGTGATTGGCTCCTGAGATTCCATGTTGCACACCCACTGGAAATTACACAGAGATCCCCAGCACAATGTGAGGAGCCAGGACCAGCCCTCACAGCAAGAACCTGCCTTCTCCTGCAACTCAGCTCTCAC